ATTCCCTTTTTTTCACAAAAAACAAGAAAAAGAAATCGGAAGAAATGAATGAATGGAAGTCGACTTTTCATCCACCTTCACTGTACTACGTACATACAGCGCAAGTGCGCATGAGCTACAAGCACGCTTTTAGCGCGGAATGTAGCCGTGGTCTGGGGTTGCTCCAAGTGAGTTGCACGACATGTGGGCGGCGGCCAGTCCAGGGCCAGCTTACTTCACCTGGATCGGACAGCGACCCAACGAAAACTAGGAAGGCCAAATCAAAGCGGGATCAAATTCCAAAAGGAGTAAAGTGCACTACTATTTGAACATTTCTGATGTTTTGTCTGAACAACCCTTTACGAGAGGATTTAATTGGCGGTAAAATATACGCTCAAAGAAGATATAAAAATATCTGTATCTCTACGGGGGTTTGTTGATGGAAGTGGGTATTAGACTTGTGTGAATCATGCAAACCCAAACCTAACAATAAAACAAAAGTATTTTATTAATTATCCATACTGAAGTGAAAGGGAAAATAACAAACTTTAAGTGGGTATTGGTAACAGGAGGTGGCGCCTAATGACAGCTGGCGGACTGTACCTGAAACAGATTCGAAATGAATAAAGGCCGTCGTTAGTGTCCGTGGTCAAAAGAAAATATCAAGGATATGGGAACACAACTTTAAAGTGGTGTATAACAATTAGATTTTCCCGCGGTAGTCAGAAAGTGTCAGTACATGCTGTAGGAATGATTAGCTCGGCCTTCAGTGATGGCCCCACCTTCCACCAGTACCAGACGGATTCGCGTTTCGACGCGCGGCGCACTTGGTAAGTACAGCCCAGCCCCTCTCGTGCAAAATGGCGGCCCGGCCTGGGCCAGGATATGGTTGGCAAGGCCGTGTGCAAGGAGATGTTTGTGGGTCAGGACGGCGGCCGTTCAGCAGTTTGGTTCAGTCTGGGTATCTTCGTGCAACATTCAACGAGTTTATTCTGAGAGCTTACTATGCTGCAGGCATGCGGCAGTACAGTGCACCGGCGAGCCTGGTTATTTCCGAAGGCGGTAAGGATCTCTTGAGGTCACTGCGAAGGGTAAGGACACGTGCCTCCCTTTCGCTGAAACTCGAAAGGATTGTCAGCGGATGGAGAGCAGAACGACGGTTTTGTACTTTGACCTCGACTTTGACAAAGACTTGTCTCGAATCCCTGAGTGTAATACCCTGGGGACGGTCAGTTGTTTTCTTTTGAAGATTAGTATTCTTACATCAATGACCTTTTACTTTTCCAGCTCGTGAGTTCACTTGTTTTTCGGCTTTGCGCTGTACTTGAAGGGAAGTCCAACATATTCG